GGCGGGGCCGGCCCGGCCTGGCGCGCGCGACCTCTGAGGGAAAAATAATTTGTTACGTTTTGTTTCGCTACGTCCCACCTCCTTTCGCCCTCCCCCCCATCCCCTCCTCATCCTGTGATGACTACAGCAGGTGAGGAGCGACACCGTTCACATGTTTAAAAATGAAAGATCGGTGAAGGGTGGTAGACAGGGGCAATTATAGCCTTTATTTTGCTGGCGAGACTAGACAAGCTAATTGCTCTGTTACGGAATGAGTAATGAGCACGCCCACGTTGTGAGAAATACTTGAATGAAAATTTTCGATGATGTGTGTTGCAAAATTACAATTTAAAATATGTTGCGATAGCTGCCTCAGCCAACACACGATGGTTGCGAGTTAATCGTTTTTTTTCTGGGCGCACTTTGTGTTGCCTTAGCAGTTTTAGTCTCTGCAGTCTTCCAACACTATTTAGTGTTGTGGTTGTGATGTACTCGACAAGCTCCTTCTTCTCCTCCCCCAAGCGGACCGGCTGGACCTTTACATTAGACGGGTAGGCGCGGCTGTGCCGATGTACACACGCACGGTGGGGCGGGGGGCATTACCAAGTCTAATGGAGTTGATATTCGAAATTAAAATATTATCCCTGGCCGAGGTCCGGGTGGTGACAGCGCAGTGGGCCGTGCTGTTGGCGCCACCACCAGCCGACCGCCACACCAGCCTTTAGCCTCCCAACACGACAAGCGCCAGCGGTCGGCAATAACACTACTATTGTTGCGTTCATCGGTTTGGACGATCAAGGTGTGTGAGAATATTTCGGTCTGCTGTCGTGAGGACGATTTGATCGCCGGAAATTACTGCAATAACTTATCAGACGTCGTCACCATGGTGCTTTCTGTGGCTTTTCTGGGCGGCCGTAAAAGTAAGGGCGTGGGTAGAGTGTGTGCAATTACGCGTAACTTTGTGTGCTTCACTCACGCGCGACTGTCAAAGTGTAAACTTTACACAATGACATTGTACAGGGACGCGGGATGTGGAGTGGAGATCACCCCCTAGTACGCGTGTTTGCTTGGTGAGCTCATGCCCTGCTCTTCAGAGGGCACCGCCGTGCCGCGCTCCCCCACAACCCGCTCATGGCTGTTCCTCTCGCTGTTTACCTCCTCTAAACCTTATTACCACTCCACTCTCCCATCTGTCTGTCCGTCCGTCCGCTCCTCCATCTCTCATAGCGCCTGGTAGGTAGTCAACATCTGGCCTACACTGCATGGATGTACTGCGGGTCGGCCTACCCTGTGACTCGCAGGCGCCTTGCTGCCGTCTGTAATTAATTTGCCAAATGTATCGAAGAAAAAAAAAGCGGAAGTAATTTTTGCACGAAACCCCCACCCAGCACCTGCACTCTCTGAGATACATAGGCTGAGAGATCAAACGATTGCGTTTAGCGAAGCATTGTTATGTCTTACACTGTGAGAAAACTTATAGGGGTTTACAAGAAAGTTTTCTATGATGTGTGTGACGAAATTACAATTTTAGATTGTAAACTTACAGGCACTCTGTATCGACTTGAAATTCACTGACATCAATTTACAACATACTTTGTAAATCGAAAATGCAAACTATACTGTTTTCGAATCTAGCAGTGAAAGTGAACCTCCTCGTTGATGCAGTTAACGTTATGCTAAATAAAGTGTTAAACCTTTGAACACTTTTGTTCACTTCCCGAAGTCTGAACGTGGAGTGGAGTATCACTACCCCACGCCCCACGCCGCTTGCAAGACGAAACAAGGCTAATGCGAGGCGCCCATCCACCTCGCATACACTCATCCATCTATCTAGACCGTGCATCCACGCTGTGCTCGGCAGGGGTCGGCTACACGACCACTCTCTGCTATCAGCTTCCTCCCCTCTTTGCCCCTTTTATGGAATTTTTGATTCACTGTGCTGACGCAGGTGATGTAGTGAATGAAAAATTCAGCTGCCCCAACACCATCTATATAAGGGGCTTTTGCCCCCTACCCAGCTCTCCCTAAACAAAAATACCCTGTACACAGTGTTATTTAATAATTCATGTGACGTCACATGGGCTTTCATGTAAAAGTTGTCAGATTAGTTAACACTTAATGCCACATTCGTTACAAGAACGTGAGTCCAGGCAATCGGTAACATTGAAAATAATCCGTGACTGTAAAATCCATAAGAATGTCACAGTTTTCACATACGTAAAAGAATGTGACGTCACGTTTAATTAAATAACAGTGTAGACAGTCCACGCACAGCACGCTGAGCAGCACGCCGTGTGTTTGGTCTCTTGCCACCCACCTCCCTCATTTTTTATTTTAAAAATTTGCATCCCGCTCCGTCTGGACCACAACTGTGGTCATCAGGGCCATCGCAACATCTCGGGAGATGCCTTGAGTGCAGTGCGTGAGCCGTCGTCGTCGTAAACGTTGCGAGGGAGCGAGGCAGTCATCGTTTACATTGCGAAATTTAACGATGTGCCGTCCTTCTCGCTCTGTCTCTCCCCCTCTCGTTTGCTCTCTCCTCTTCCCCTCCCCATCTCTCCCTCTCGTCCATGTCTCCCGACTGTGCCTTCCCGCCTTTCTCCCCCCCTCTATTTCCGGCAGACTCTGAGCCAAACAATCAAATTACGATGTCACTCCGCAAAATGGTGCGCCATCAGGGATCCTTTTGTAACGCGCATTGCACGAGATGTTTGTGCCTGATGCTGGTCTGCCCCGCGACTGACCCGCAGGGG